CAAATACGATCAAGATAATTAAGTCTACTAAAGTGTATATTCCGAATGTTAGTGTTAATAAACTTGAAGATGAGTGTCGAGTCGCGATTTATTATGATCATCACTACAATAAGATTACGTGTCAGATAACGACTTGGATCGCTCAGTAGGCCAAAAACCAAAAGGCTGTTAATGGTCCAGATAAGATATAATTATTAGCGATCTCCTGGTATCGAAAGAATACCGAGACGTGCCAAAAATTACTGGCAAAATGGTAGAGCGCAAGGGAACGAAAAGTTAAACAAACATGTACAGCAAAACAATCACTGGTACAGTTGGTTGTAATAATAATTGCCTCCATTACACACATCGCGTTCTTGTCATGAAAAGTAGGTCACTGAAGGAACACTCCACTAGAAAGGGTCTGCACTTTCGATGCGTAGCGGTTTCGTTCGTGGGACTGATCATCAAACGTGAGATTGTAGGACGAAGACGTTGGCAGAGCAGGAAGCGATCGTTGATGCTCTAGTTGCCACCAAAGGTGTTTTTACGTAGAACGGTACCAGAAGAAGCATACTGTATTTGTTTTTTAAGTTAGCATGCTACACCAGACTGGTTTGTATCCAGAATCTGAAGATTGAGTTCGTAGGCGTCAGGACCAAAAAACGCTGCAGATGTAGGACGGAACAATACTGAGCGAAGAAACCAGGGGCGAACTTAATAACGAAGTACGGGACCAAATGTATGCTATACGTATTTGGAGCCAGAGAAATCGACTGAGTGCGTTGACTAGAGCGTGGGTGATCAAACCAGCTTTAGACGAGGTTGACTGAAGTTGACGGTGGGCTCAGGATAAATAAATAAAACAATCAAAGGAAAAGAAAAAAAATGTAGCATGCACGTAGCATAGGGATAGAGTCCTATGCAGTATCCATTGTTGGTTGTGAGGTTAGTGGCGAAAGCGTACACTTGGTATGAAAAATCTAAGAAGTGAGAAATAAAGGTGTTGATCTACTGCTTCGAGCAAGCGAATCAACCAACCGTCTAATTTTACTGGTCATGTTTATTGATATATATATGTTTGTAAATATGGATCAGATGTGTACAACGTGATCCAGGCTTCATGTTCCCTTTGAATGCTTGCCTTTTTACCCAAGAAAAGTGTTTAGGAAATCTCTTTATAGGCGCTTTATAAGTGAACCTGACTTAAGGTCATAGTACGGATTCAGTTGGTAATCCTTCATCTTTCCATCAATCCGTTATTCCGACAACTGACAAATTAATAGATGTCATTCAACACCTGAAAATATTTCGCAATGGACAACTTTGTGTGGTCCTATATCTGACTCCAATTAGATCGTATGGTGATTACTGTTGTTAATTAAATCCCTGCTACCCTCTTATATATTCATCAACTTCAATCACGTTAGCGTACAACGGAATTATAAGGGTCGAATACGAGAATGTTTTACGGATACGTATATTTTGTGCAGTGGCTCATCAGAACAGACTATCGAAGAGACGGAGAGAAAGAATCAAACAGGAGAGAGAAAAGCGAAATCAAATGATGCACAATCTAAAAGTCGGGTGAGGCAACTCAACTTAATCGAACAACACAAACAAATCACCTTAAACATAATAAAATCAGTCATTTGAAATGACAGACTTCTGACTTTTTATTCTTTCACCTGATGTTAGTTTGAGGACAATGTGAATATTCACTATTGATCTTGAATTGTGAGTTATATTCAGCTTTAGTTTGGAGAGGCACAAATGGCTGAATTGACAGTGGCATTACAATTCATTTATTATCTCATACGTCTCTGTCTAATGAACACAAATTATGCTGATAAAAACATCCAGTGATATAATCTATGGTGACTTTGTCTAGATGTTTTAAATGATGCCTGTTAGGTGATCGTTTGTGTTCAGTATTTGTTTAAGTCGTTTTTCATTATTCACTTGACTTGATGATGATTATGTGTGAATTTGTTAAAATAAGTAACAGTGGAACACTTTATTGTTACTTGAGTTTTACAACAAACAGCTGATTGTGTAGTCGAATTCTTTCATGTATGGAATGAAAAATGTAAATAACTGTTTAGGGTATGACGGACTCTTCATAAAGTGTTGATAATCGAAAGCATGACACTATGTTGACCACCATTTGACGACGTCTTAGTTTGACTGAGACGATGAAATGCTTTCCACATTTTTCAAAAAGTTAGAATTCCACGAACAGTTTTGCTCATAAGGCATATAAATTTAGATGTCAGTAAAGTGAACTAATAGTTGTCCACATCAGTATTATAATTATGATATGATTAACTAGGATTAGAGTTTACAGTTAGCCGTTATTTGTAAAAATTAGAGCAATGTTTTCCATCATGAACTTTCATCAGCTGCGTTGCCGAAATGCTGATAACCATCTGGTTGGATGAATTTCACGCCTAATTTTATTAGTTCGTCCAATTTTCATAGTTTCGCCGCCACACAAACACAAGAATATAATCTTCACAAAAGACACTGAAATTTGTTAGGGTTGCTATTTCTGTATATCAGTCGATATCTGAAATTTGTAGATGGATGATTTTCTAAAATGACTGAATAAACACTCACCATATTATTTACAAAATTGTAATTCATATTACACTGCTTAATGTGTTCACAATAATATTTACTTAACATGACCGTATGAAAACAAATAAGCATTTATAGACTGCTTATTACAAGTTCTGTAAAGTATACGAATTCGATATGATATTTGTATTCTGGATACACATGTTTGAAACGGAGTCAACTATATAATGCAGGTCAGAAAATCAGAGAAATGAGTCTAGAATTTCATCATCCAATGAGTGATAATTGCTGGTTGAATGTAAATTTAGTAACCGTGTAAATAGAAAAGCATTAGAATTAGATACCATTTCATAATTGAAAGTTCTTATTGTTTGTATTGATATGATCATTATGTATTCCAAAAATCAACCAAATAAACTAATTTTTACTTCGATTTTTCTTTAGCATGCTTGACTCATTTCAAAGTTATCGTTTGAGTGGATCTCTATGTGGATTGATGGAAGGTTCAGAAGTGATATGTTTATTGAAAGGAATTTGTTCTTTGTGATTGATATTGATTTAGAAATGTTCCTAAATTCTTATGGAGGAATGGTTCATCATATGACTACATCATGATTTAGTTCAGATCTTTTAATGAAGTCAAGTACAAATGTTTTCAGTTTACTTACTGATGTCATGGTGAATTAATACCTCAAATAATTAGTTCTATGAGTCTTGAACATTCACCTCAACCTCATTAGTTTTACTGAACATACACTAGATGAAGACAATCGGTCACTCATCTGCACCAGGTTAAAAGTGTGTATGCCATGCCACGCATCCCCCGTAACTAATGTGGCGAGTGCCTCTTATGTCGACAGACACATGTAGTATATAATGTCAATCAGAAGTGGAAAACCTGACAGAGGAAGTTCAAGAAGATGGTGTTGAAGAGAATAGGAAAGGAAATAGAACGGAATTGTGAATTGGAAGAAACATACAGAATGTGAAGCACAAATGATGAAAATGTTCAAATGAAATATTCAGTGTATGGTTCTCATATTTTACCAAGATATTCTGAAGTCTCAACCCGAGTGTCCATTCAATTACTACTAGTAGGCCTAAATCAAATGCTTTCGAACACATCCACAACCTTGAGAATATATACTCGGACTCATTCATTCGTAACTTTAAATATGACTGAGTTGATATCATTCGATTAAAAAAGTGTTACAAGCGAAGGCGTTATCAAACCCAGAATATCTGTAATATATTTAATAGAGTGGTTTTGACGGAGAATGTGTACATACTAGCGAACAGGCATACATTACAAACTTGGAGAGAATTGGAAAGATTTCGATCAGAATATTAAGGACTTTGGAAGTTGGTACAATCAGTTTGATGTGTTCAAAATGACAAGATGACAAAAGAAGCTAGGTCAGTTAACTTCTATTGGTCAGGTTGAGTGAACTGAGTAATATAATTTCGAGCAAATTGATTCCTCCTACTATATTTATTTATGTAAACACCATTTACCAGTAATCAAACTGCATGAGCTGAGTTCTTTCATATCAATGTTCGTGAACAGTTATAGACATAAATTTGAATGGAAAGTGCTATTATACTTAACAATGTGAACACAGAGAAAATAAGAGGACTGCTAAAATCATGGGCATAAGCTGAGTCTGCAAACAATGGATGTATTGAATATACCATATGCATCCACTCATCGAAACAGATATTAAACACGAATGTGTGTATACTGAGTGACAAGTCAAATTTCATATTTACACAACAGTGTGTAGATCACTTATGATTTGACCATATCAGATAGCTTCTTTTGAATGTTTGTGCTTATTATATTGTCTAAAAGTGTTACATATGATTTGTGAGATAGCGACAAACTGTGAAATGTATGTTGGGGTTTAAAGGTAATTATTGAAAAAGCTAAGTAGAAACAGTTGCCACAGAAACGCAACTATCATGGGATTCAATAGACGTCAACTATGAAATATGTATGTTATTATTCGATTAACGTAACTCACATTTGTTAATATGAAGATTCTGTAATCGTTGGTTATTTTTTTGCTAATGCAGTGAGATCACCCCAATTTCATACACTTTCCTATGTACACTGATTTTAATGATCAACATAACTATTGCGTTTAGGTTGTAAGCAGTTGACGATTAGGAAATCTATGAATTTTAATGAATTCATATTATTCTACCACGTTTACTTTGCTTGTTTGAAATAAATTGTCTCCATTGGTTAATGAATTGCTCACATTCCAAAGTGAGCGAGAAGTAGACAGTCTATTTTGTTGTTATTATAGTTAATGATTGGTAATTCTACACAGACTAATGTGGATCATCACCTCAGTTTATGGTGCATGTATTTCACCATTTTACTGAACTTGTTTCTGCAAAGTTTACTTCTTAGAGGATAATAAATGATCAGGAATATGAGTAGTTGTCTGTTGGGCGTAGTATTCATCATTTCAATATGTTTACTTAGTGGTGTGAATGGTGAGTTTTGTAGCATTTAGACAATAAATTTGCTATGATAATTATGTTTTTGATCATGGGTTGTTGGCAATGATAATGCATATGTGCATAAGAAAGGATCCTATGAATAGCGATGTTTAACTTCACTGTAGATTTTACAGTTTATGAAAACATGCCATGATTTATAGGGCGCTATAACACTGAACATACACGAAATGCGATTTCATATATTGACTAGAATGAAATCGCACAGAAAGCGTAATTCATAAGTTTGTGGAAGTTGGTTAGCCAGTCAAACTAGCCTTCTGCAACAGTTCCATGGTAAATGAGAGCGTTTATCTACATGTTATGCCTAAACACCTGAGAGATCACTAATGTGTTCTCATAATATTTCGCTTTAAAATATACAGGTGATCTTGGAAGCCATCAACAACAAGTTCTCAATTTTAAGAAGGTCCTTTTCACTACCATTAAACTATTGATAAAAATGACAGATGCTGGAAGTTTGAACTGTTTCAAAATCTACATCATATCAAAACACAGATATATGAACAGGGTGTTTTGTTTTCAATGAATTCTACTGCAATCATTACAGTAATATATACATATTGATTGGCAAATATTTGATATAATCACACATCAACAGTTTTCTTTGATTTCAGCTGATAAAAGTAAGTAATTAAGAGTGGTGAAATGTATGTTTTAAGTGCACATTCATAAATGAAACTGTGAACATTGGAAGGGAATTAGAGTGAAAATGTTGATAATTGAAACTACTCATTGAATGTTTACAAATCTGATAAATTAGGTTGTTTTCCCGAATGTATTTTATTTCATCGTCTCATAATGAATAATATTCACAACAGCCTATGTGATATTTTATTTGACAATGACTTTTAAATAATCCGAAAGGGGGTTCTGTGGAAATTTTAGTAATTTATTGATTGAAAGGATGGGTGGATTAAAGCCAGATCAGCATGAAAAATGTGGAAGCAGTGTTTGACGGCCGTTTTGTTCTAGTATGAGATTCTTGAGCAGGGAACATCCACGATGCTGCTGTTGGGATTCGAATCCAGGATCTATGGTCGTGAGAGAAAAACTTCCAGTGCTTCCGGGTTTTCCATGGTGGTCTAGCTTTACTCGACTCATGAATCCAAATATTGGAAGATATATTAATTCTTACACCGTAAACGAAAGTGAAAACTAAGAGTAACAGAATTCGATTTATTACTTATGATCTATCACAGTGAACTATTTACTATCACAGTTCTAAAAATCTTATTGAATGAGAATAAGAGATGAGTACATTGATAGAATAATTTTTGCTCATTTAAATCTACTATAATGTGATTAAATAGTGGTAGATAAAACATTTGTAAAAAAGAAATGAATTCGGACAATCTCTTTGATTTCGCTGTAATATACCTTCCGGTTGCAAATTCCACGTTCAGTTGTAATATGTTCGCTTGGTTTCGGAACTGTGGTATTGTAGTTTCAAATTAAATCAGCTTGTAATGAGGAATGATTGTTTAGGTTAATTTAGATACACTATATCGCTCAGTCAAACCATAAATAAAGTAATTGTATGAGTGATGGTTCGAATTTTCACCATAAACTCAAATGTACATTATTACCTTAACAAATATTGCCACTTTGTTTACCAACCGATAATTGTTTTGTCAGTAGTCAAATGTAAATTTCATGAAATAGATAAATTGATAGATAATGTAAGGGAATTACCGATTGGAACAAATAAATGTTATTCTCTCTATTCTGGACAGATTACGTACAGATTATTCGAAAGATAAATACTCTATTAAGAACAATCATTCAAGTAAAATCTATAGACGTTTGTTAAACGAAGGAATTCGGATGTTAACACCTTTTGAGAAGTTTTAAATATGAGCAAATCTATCCTATCTCAAAAGAAATCAGCCTTAATTAATAGATTTCAACAGTCTAAATATCTTGATTGTGATGTGTAAAGTTTTAGTTGGTTACCTTTGTAATTGAACTGATTAGATTAAGATTTTTAAAGAACAAACATCAGTCTTCAGATTAACTAGTTGAGCTCACTCACCAACATCATATCCCAATATGACAACATACCGATAAATTAGCATCTTGTAGGACCATACAAAATGTGTTATGAATAATGGTGCTTTTGTTATTACATTTACTGTGCTAATGAATAAATGAATGAATGTTCTTCCATCGAGTAGAATTTAAACTATAATACACATAACAGTTTGATTAAACATATGGTCAATTTATTATTGAAGCAGCAATCTTCAATCTCGTGTAAGTAAACACACAGTTTTACTTGGTTGCATGTATGTTTTATATAGATTTCATAGTTTGTTTATTCATCATCTCATTTTTTTGAATTTTGCTCATTACAGTTGAATAAATTCCAGTTTATAGGGTACTGTGAATATTGTTGAATTTCATTGTCTATAACAAGGGCTGATCTTTTGACAACTTAATAATTGTATTACGAATGATGAAGGAGCGAACGATGAATGAACCATTAACATAAGTTCTCTGTTTGATTTCTCATATTTTACTTAGGCTAACGCGTTTAGGAGAAATTGGATGAAGTTATTTTTGATATTTATTTAATCAGACAGACATTAAGATGTGAAGCTATGATGATGAACGAGCTTAAGCAAAATAATACTGTTTACAAGAGTTAATATAACTCGAAAGAGATAATTCGTAACTCGACAAGTAAACAAGCACTGGTTAAGCTAATACGTGTACAAACATAAACAAGCAGAAATGAGATCACAAAAAGATGGATATAGGGGTTATATTTACCAAAGGTCACAATGTCTTATGAAACGAATAGATTAGGAGAGTGAAAATGATCCAATCGTTACATGTTATCTTAGTTATCACAGTCTGTTTAAAACTAGGATGAATCATTTAAGTGAATGGTAGTTAGTACTTTGTGTTATAACCTTAGTTAGAGAACTACTGAGAACGAGGAACTACTGGGAAGCTTCTTTGATTTAATATGTAACTCCTCCGTAGTGGTCGAGCAACGCCGTCAATTGATTGAAGTTAGAAATTTGAACCATTAGTAACCCTTTCAGTAGTCTAGAATTCCGTCGCTTTTTATTGGACTTGAAAATATTGAGTGAGTTCTTTGATGAGGTTCTCCCTGATGGTGTGTTACATACAACGACGAAACGGTTGTCCAGTAAATCCTGGTTTGCAGTGAGTGCCTAACTAACATCAATTTGTACTATAAATGGGGGATTATCATTTTCCGTCACACAGAAAAGTTTAGTTGTACTTTTGGTGTCCACAAGTGGACATTTGTTTATTCATACATAAGGTCATTACTTCTATGTTCTATGTATCAGTTAAAATAGGATGTCAGTTTTCATGGTTTCGATAATTACACAAACTGGATTATCATTATTTATATATACCTCACAAAACAGTGAACATGCGACTGAAATAGTCTTTTATAAAACAGTGCTGAATAAAGCATTGAAAACTATCACCAACACACTTCATATTTTACTGTCCCTTCATTATTAGTAATGTATACTTTTGAATTTTATGTCAGACACTATGAAGATCTGTAATTAGAAATTGGAAATGTACCAAATTAATTTTTGTTAGAGAGTTTATTGAACAATTATGGTGAGTCTGATTTCATGATATCGTTTTAAAAGAAATTGTTTGATATTGAATAATAAATGTCTGTTAACGACTGCTTATTGAATTCATGACTGTATCTACGTAAATTGTGGAGTCATGATATATGTTATGTGAAGATTTCAGAGTTTCAAGTTCATGTAATGTAACTGTGTATGTAGTTGTTGGTGTGAAGTGTAGGCTATCACATATGACCATCTTCAACTCAACTGATGAAAGTTACATTCTTTAAGTTTCAATTGACTTGATTTCGAGAGAGAACAAGAAGCGATAACCTGTATATATGTAGTTTGCACATTTTTAAATTTCAACTATAAAGAATATTGTTGGATTTTGTGAGAGAGAAGGGTTGATAATTCACTGAAAACTTGCAGTGTGATGAGTAAGTAGAAGTGTAGTGAACAGAACACTAGTTAGGAACAATCGAATGTATTTAAGCAAAAATTACAGACTATCCCAGTAAATTCTGAAAACCATACAATGGACAGTTAATTTGCAAATTACCAACCAACAGTCTCAATCTTCACTGTTTCTTCTCTAATTCCATTGTTCCTGCATTTTCCTACCGATTGCGCTTCATTTCAGTTCTTTGCTCATCGGTCTTCTGTCTGGCCAACACCATATACTACTTATATGGATATAAGTAGACCACAACACAGAAGTATTTTGTTTTGATCTGATTCGTTATGCTTTATTTGGTGACGGCTGGAAATTATTAGAAGATTTAAATATCTGATAGATCAAGTGAATGGCTTCATTATTTCTTGAGTTTCTTTGAACAAGAAACACAATTTGTGGGTAACTACACTGTTAAACACTGAAGCCAACTTACTTACTTACACCTGTTGCCCCTAATTGGGGAGCATAGACCGCCTACCAGCACTCTCCATTCAACCCTATCCTAGGCAGTCCTTCCCACTTCTTTCCAGTTGCCATTCATGTTTTTAATGTGTGCTTCCAATTCTCGACGCAGTGTGTTCTTTGGCCTTCCTGCAACAGCACCAAAATTCTAATGAAAATGTTGCAAATGCGATGATGACGATACATGGACATGTGGATTATTGAAAATCTAAATATTCATCTTTATATTTTAGTGACAGTTCATATTAGACAAGTAAGGAATTTTAAGCATTCATCAATAAAAAATCCTTGAAATCATCAACGGATGTAAGTTAAACTACCAGCGAGAGTAGGAAGGAAGTGAACGGCTATTACGTTCTACCATGAGACTCTTCAGCAGTACTCGTCTACAGACTTGAGAGCGAAAATCGAACTCAGGACTTTCGGTGACGCCCACAAACTGTTTATCCCTAGCTGAGCGAGTCGGCTTTCTATAGTGTACAAGTATAACTTGAATCTACTCACAACATTGCGTTACCGCCCTTCATTGTTTTCGGTGGGTAACTACCTTTTCAAGTCATTATTTATAGGTTACTACAGATAGTGTTTTCAACAATACGTTCATACACTTCCCTGTAATTTGACTTTGGTCTGATGCATGGTAATTATCATTATCTAATTACTCACTAAAATATACAGAAGTAGTGAATATCATGAACTTATTTAAAGAGAATTTATTTTGGAGGTCTGGTGAGTTAGACCACTATATATATAACTTAAAATTACTTATTGCTGGCATGCAATATCAAAAGCCATATATGGAACTATAGTAAATCTTAGCCCATTCAATAATTTGTAACTAACGAGAGATTTTGGGATGTACGCTTCGTTTGACTGTTTGTCAAGTTAGACAAATCAGTATGTATCACTGTATTCATTTAAAATGCAGAGTAAATCACTGTACACAGAAATTGTTACTTTCTGTACTTCAACTTCATTTAGGAGATACGTTTTAGCTGATCTGTACGTTAGTGTTCCAGAATTCTAAGACTATCACTGTTTTGTATTCGTTTCATTCAAATAACAACTTTACATTTATTATAAAGGCAATCAGTGTGTACTTATCCAGTGACTTACTCCGCCTGTAGCTGTTCTAGAGTTACTGTAGGTCCCAAGCCCGTGTAAAGGAGGAGGGTTGGGCAAGAGGTTAGCGTCCACATACCGTAGAAAAACTAACTCGCTAAAAAAACGCTAACCAGAAAAAATAATTCAAACTATTTAAACTCTGCCCTGGGAGTTGAAGGAATAATTATGACGCCTCATGATAAAAACCAAGATTCTTCTGAAGTCACGAAGCCAATGCACCTTCTAACAACCAGAGCAACACTCTTTATAAGTACATGGAACGTCCGAACAATATGTGAGACAGGAAAGACCAGCCAAATAGCAATGGAAATGAGGAGATACAACTTGGCAGTTCTCGGAATCAGCGAAACCCATTGGACACAAGCTGGATAACAAAGGCTAGGTACTGGAGAGATGCTGCTGTACTCCGGCCACGAAGAGGAAACTGCTCCACACACCCAGGAACTTGCTGTAATGCTGTCCAGAGACCACACCACAGAGAACCAGATGGATCATATTTGTATTAAAAAAATTCCGAAGGACAATGGAAGATGTGAGAACCAGGATTGGAGCTGACATAGCTTCAGATCACCACCTGGTTGTAGTCGAGATGAGACTGAAGCTAAAGAAACACTGGATAACTGGACAAACAGCACTGCGAGGGTTCGATGCAGCCTTCCTTTGAGATACTGACAAGCTAAGCGAATATAAAGATAACTCTCAGCAATATATTCCAAGCTTTGCAGGATCTACTCAGATAACTAGAATATACGATGGAGGGCATCTTGAAAGGGATAAAAGAAGCACTAAATTCAACGTGTCAGAAGGTTCTGGGTAGCAAGCGGCATCATCATAAGGAATGGATCTCTATGAGAACCGTGGGCCAGATTGAAGAAAGGTAGAACAAGAAGACTGCAATTAGCAACAGTCGAACACGAGCAGAGAAAGTCAAGGCGCAAGCAGACTACGCAGAAGCAAACAGGGAAGTGAAGGAAAGCAATAAAGCCGAAAAGCAGAAATACATGGGAGAAGTAGCAACGACGGTTGAAAAATCTTCAGGAAAAGGCAATATGAAACAACTATTTGATACAACGACAGCCGGCAGGGAAATATGGTAAACCAGAGAGACCAGTCAAGGAAAGACAATCACGGGGATTCAACAACAGAGGAAAAGATGGGCAGAATACTTCGAGGAACTGTTGAATAGATCAGCTCTATTGAATCCCCAGACATAGAAGCATCACACACTGACCTTCCTATATCTGTCTCTCCATCAACGATCGAAGAAGTCAAGATGGCCATCAGACAAATCAAGAGTGGGAAAGCGGCAGGACCTGACAATATACCAGCTGAAGCACTGAAGTCAGACAGTGAAGTAACAGCAAACATACTTCACCTTGTATTTAAGGAGATTTGGGAAGAGGAACAAGTGCCAACGGACTGGAAAGAAAGATACCTCATCAAGATACCAAAGAAAGGAGATCTGAGCAAATGTGAGGATTACAGAGGCATCAGTTTGCCGCCAGAACAATAAAAAGTTTTCAACAGAGTGTTGCTGAACCTGATGAAAGGCACAGTAGACGCCCAACTTCTAGATCAACAGTCTAGATTCCGTAAGGATCAGCCGTGCACAGACCAAATCGCGACACTACTGGTTATCGTTGGACAATCAGTCGAGTGGAATACGTCACTATACATCAACTTCACTGCCCATGAGAAGGCTTTTGACAGTGTGGATAGGAGAACATTATGGAAACCTCTCCGACACTATGGAGTTCTTCAGAAGATTGTCAACATTATCTAGAACTCATACCGCAGATAACAGTGGAAACAAGCGCATGGAGGACAGCTGACAGATGAATTTCCAGTAAGGACCGGAGACAGACAAGGCTGTCTACTCTCCCCATTTCTCTTTCTTCTAGTAATTGACTGAACTATGGAGACTTCGACATCTGAGGGGAAGCACGGAATACAATGGACGTTTCAGAATAATTTGGACGATTTGGACTTCTCAGATGACCTAGCCATCCTTTCTCAGACGCACGAACAAATGCAGACGAAGACACAAATGTAGCAGCATCCTCTGCATCGATTGACCTCAGCATTCACAAAGTAAAAAATAAAATCCTCAAATACAACACAGAAAACATCAAACCAACAACACTTGATGGAGAATCTCTGAAAGAGGTGGGAACATTCATGTACCTAGGAAGCATCATTGACTAACAAGGAGGATCTGATGGAGACGTGAAGGCTAGAATTGGTAAAGCAAGGGCAGCATTTCTACAAGTGAAGAACATATGAAACTCAAAACAACTGTCAGCTAACTTCAAAGTGAGAATCTTCAATACGAAGGTCAAGACAGTCAGTTCTACTGTACGGAGCTGAAACGTGGAGAACTACTACATCCCTCGTCAAGAAGGTACAAGTAATTATAAACAGTTGTCTACGCAAAATATTCAATATTCACTATCTGAATACTATGAGCAACAGCGTTTTATGGGAGGGGACAAACCAGCTTCTAGCTGAAGAGGAAATTAGGAAAAGACGTTGGAAGTGGATCGGACATACATTGAAGAAATCACCAATGTGCATCACGAGGCAATCGCTAACTTGGAAGTCGGGAGGGAAGCGGAAAAGAGGAAGGCCAAAGAACATAGGGAAATAGAAGCAGATATGAAAAGGATGAATGTTAACTGGAAAGAACTGGAAAAGATTGCCCAGAACACGGTTGGATGGAGAATGCTGGTGGGCGGTCTGTGCTCTTCAACGAGGGGTGACAGGCGTATGTAAGTAAGTATTTAGGAACCGATCTCTTATAGGAAGATTGACTAATCGACTTGGAATATGCAGACGACGTAGCTCTATTTGATGGAGACGTTGACGAGTTACAGAGTGTTGTGATTGCTTTTAATAATTATCTAATTATGTTTAGGTCGTATCTCTCTCCTTGTAAATAATAAACGTTGTTTTGGAACTGAAACGCATTAACATCTGAAAGAATAATTGAAAGTGAAGTGGGAATCATGATATATGAACGTAGGAGACGTAAGGCGACTACGAGATATAGATCATAGTTGTCTTCTAACCGCTGCTCTCATATGGCAGAACAATGATTTGGAGGTAACTTGAGGTTAGGTTTAGTGTTGATGTGGTTATTGTTCTTCATCGACTGAGGAATATGGGATGTCGTTACGTAGTCATAACCATCTTACATATCGATATTAGCTGCTGTATGATTAAAAGGGAAGAAATCAAGGTATTTGCTAAGCAAGACTTTTAATTGTATGTGGTGATTTCAATTCATGTGAGTGTAATTTCCTTACATCACTAGGTCACCAAAATGTAATGGATTTGCACACTCGTTTGGATGCAAATTTAGACTTTGTTTTCAATAATGATGTGGGTACATATGTGACTCCTAAACAAGCTCAATTGTCTAGCTCAGATCACTGTATAATTCGTGTTCTACCTAAAGTATATGAAAAACATGTGAAGAGTACAACTTTACACCAGACCATAAGTCGTATATAGGAATTACGGAGAAAAAAAATATACAAAGTCTGGGAATTATTTACAGATGACTCACTGGAAAAGACGATTGATTTTATCACTTGTTATCTAAAATTCTGTTTTGATATTTGTTGTCCTACTGAAACCATTTTTTAAAATTCTTGACCGACTTACATCTCCACAACTAAAACGTCTACGGAGTGTGAAAGAGAGAATGCACAAAGAGAAATACTCTATTGAAGTTCGTAAGCCGAATGGCTTAATAAACCTAGAGACTAGGCGTCTCAACTGTATGTTTACTCAGAAACTTCTATCTCGTGAAATCTCTCCAAGTATGTGGAAACTTTTTAAAGAACTTACAGGTGACATGCAGATTAGAAGCGATAATCAGCTGAATGTTTGTGATTTAAGTAAGTCATTTGTACGTCAGTTGTCTGGTGTCATGTCCCCTATATCCACAGGTTTGAAGAATATTTGTGTTCTTAGTTTAACTGAAAATGATGTCCGAAAATGTCTCCAGTCACTGAATTAATTCCAATGTTCAGGACCTGATGGTATCCCGAACCCCTTTGTAAAAACAGTGTTGACGTTCTATGTTATCCATTCATGAATATCTTCCACAGATCCTTCTCAACTAATCTCCTACCGAAAATGTGGAGAAAGATAAAGATTAGTCCTATATCTCAGAACGTAACTGGTGATAAAAATATGAAATTTAGAACCATAGCAATAACTTCATCTTTCCTAAAAACGGTGGAAAAAATTACTGACAGCCTCACTTCAATCTGAAATAAAAGAGCACAGTGATACGCATCTCTTTGCTTATAAATGCAAAAGAAACACCTTTGATGCCGTTGCTGTTCTGTATCACAATATAGTGTCCGGCTTGGAATAGAGTAAGAAATATGTTCAATGCGCTTTTCTGGACTATACTTCTGCTTTTGATTGTATCTCAAGACTTTTCTTACTCAACAAGTTGATCAGCGTCAACGCTGATGGCTGTATAACCAATTGGCTATGTTCCTACCTTTTCGGAAGAGAACAGTACACTATGTTTTACAAGGAGCTGTTCTTTCACCTTTCATTTTTCCTGTTTTTCTGCACGATCTGTCATATTCTACAGAAAACATTATATGTATGCCGATATCTATCTCTTTACATCCCATAGAAAGGAAAAAATTTTTGTCTCGTATTTGATGGTATTGTGTTGGTAATGGTATCTCACTTAATTCATCTCAATGTCAAGCTGTTAACTTTAGCCTGAGACATGAACAGCACCTATACACTATTTTAGGATCCGATAATGCTTGTGCCATTACAAACTTCTTGATAAACACTGTGTTCATGGTCAATTATCTTTATGTTACTTTTCCCTCTGATCTCTTTTGATTTTCCCATGTTTTACTGTTATCGAAAAAAGTTTGCCCTTTGTCTTAGTACATAAAGAGGCTGCATGCTTTTAGGATTACTCGCCTATTATTCCTTAGTGTTCTCCGTTATTCTTTCCGGGGCATTTGAGAAAAGACTTTGCCGTATTTTGGAAGGTGCTGAAGGCAGTTGACAATGTGTGTAGTGAGTCTTTTGAGGTTATTATTATTATGGTTGCGGATAGACATCTCCAGTCTTGCAAACTCCTGGTATGTGTTATCTTAACAGATACTAACCATCCACTACTTCATTCATATCTTTCTTTTTGTATATCTTCTGGTAGAACGAGACGTAACTGCATTAGAATCCATACACGCAAGCAAATCTATAAAAGTTCTGTAATACCTTACTTAGCAAATATACTCTGTGACGAATGGGTTGTTAGAGTTAACCTAGTCAATAACCTGTGTTACTAAGCATATCTCAAATTTTACAAGTTGTACAGAACCAAATATTTTCTCACCTGATTTTGTTGTAATACATCTTACTGAGAATTCTATATTGTATCAACATATAATATTGAATAAAGCCACTGATAATAATAATGACTGTTGGTTTGTAGTGTTGGAAGCTGTAAAATACCTACTTTACGTTCAAGTGTTGACCCTGTCAGTGGTTGGAGAAACTGGATCACATTGTTCAGAATCCGTCAACGATGTATCTAAAGTGCCTCTCTCTCTCTAGATCTTGAGTTCTAGTATTCTTTTATGCATCACATTTCATTTTGTCTTTTCGAGACAGATTATCAACGTTTAATCTTTCTGTTGTGGTAGGATATACGTTAATTATGACTGACTAACCTATTCGTGTTCGATACACAATGAACAAGAAGTAATTTTAAAAATTTTATAGATCGTTAGTGAAAAATATTTTTTGACGATACGAGTATAAAATGGGTGAATGGAATCGATTTTTATTTTATCTTCACTTATTCTTTTATTGTATCGCTTTTCAGGACCAATTTATACGAACGCTTGGGTGGTACTTGGAAATGTTTATTGGAAGTACTACCTGAAGAACTAGGAGGTAAAAAAAATCCATGTTACAATAAAACCACTTAATAGCGTGAAAATCCAACAGAATAAAAGTTAAATGAATAACATTTTTTGGTATATTATCTTAAATGTGTGTTTCAAAGATTTTCTAATGAGATATGTTATTTCACTACATCTCAAACAGATATTAGCAACGAAAAAATACACGAGTAGTGGTTAGTAGAACAATCCAAAAGGCGTGTTTCATTATGTCGGGCTCATCAGTTTATCTGCCTTCATCCCAATATTGATTCTCATACAAGGACTCGAAATTGGTACATTTTACTTAAAAAAACTGAACACGTTATTCACATAATTACATTGTTCATATCAATTATTCTCGGACGTGGACATAAGTCTTGCATTCTTCTGCTAGCCACTATCAAACTATAGTTAACATATTGAATTAAATCGTTAGAAATGTATTCGCGGTAACAGGTTTTGGAAAGTCAAATATTTGAATCAAAATGTTAATGCAGTTTTTTTTAATGATGATTAAGTACAGCGATATTTGTGAAGTAATTTGTAACTTCTAAGGAAAAAAATGATACGATTTCAGGGTAATTACATTAAAGAATGCATTGCAAACAAGATAATTTCTCTTTATTTATTAACCGACTTGAAAATTCCAAGATATATTTATAAGTACTTTTAATGAGGTGCATGATGATATATACTACTTACATCTGTCTACATAAATAGCAAAAACCACATTAGCACATGTGTCAGTGATGTTATCGTATGTACGGCTCGGTTGAATGGAACGGACCGTTGAAGTTGGTTATTCTAGGCATGTAACACCTTACTGAAGGGTGAGAACAACTATGTTGTGTTGTATGCTACTTATGTTGACAGATATAAGTAATACGTAACAGTAATCGGAAGTGGAACGCCTGCATCAGAAAATTGAATTGAAGAGAACAGGAAGGGAAAGAGAGAGCAATTAGAACAACAACTGGATTGGAGGAATCATAATATCAATATTTTTAAATCAATGTGTTTGAGACATTAATTAGTTTGCAGACATATACGTAATACATTTGGTTGATCGAAACACAGTTACTGGATGTTCATAAAGCTTCCATGAAAAACGGTACAGAAATAATTTCAGACAACTTAGTGATTCTATGAATTCAAATAGAAAGTTCACTACTTTGACTGGAACCAAAGACTCATTGCCAGCCTTAAAAATCTGTGTATTAGTTGTGGTACGTGAGAATGCAATGAAAAATGGTCTGAACATAAATTATGCGTCGATTCGTTAACTATCTTTTTGACACAATTGTAATGAAGTTTATGCTGGATTATCTGTAGACACTAACATTGACTTTTTCGAGATGGATAGATTTGTGTGATCTACTAAGTATCGTATAAATAGGAAGTACTGTGATGTTTGTATTTCATATAAATGTGTTTCAAACAAGATTATTTATCTATGCTAGGTAAGACTATAAAAAGATCGCTTTATTATATTTACCGAATCGATCATCATCATTTGTCGAATTAAAATTGAGACACATTGTAATATTTGCAGTGCAATGATCGCTATGTACACTAGATCGAGTAATACATTTGCCAATATTCTTTTTCATTTCACTTAAACATTTCAAGCTTATCATTTCAATATGTTTATACGTATTTAGGTTCGCAACTCATAAGTGACATCTATATTAAATTTTGAGTGAAATAGCTTAGTAAAAAATATTGTGTTAGTCTTCTCTTTGTACTGCCTAGTTTGTTCTAAAATCGATAAAGTGGAAAAGAATATCAGTATGGGGTTGTAGATGTTATTATGATTTTGATTGATAGAATTAATATCAGTCGGTTAATGATCACAATTGAAAAAGAACATGTCGATTTTGATTGACATTGATTACAAAAGTTTTCAAATCTATGAGACTATTTTCTAGATGGTTTTTTGAGACGAACCAACTCATACTACCTTTTTTGTAACTTAGTAGATGTAATTCGTATCTTTCAACGAAGTATAGTAAATGATTTATCCTATGGTAGACAAATAAGTTCAAACGCTCTCAGTTTTCTTGATGATGGGATTGTGAAATCGAGTCATACGTTATGAGAATAGTGTTTAGGACTCACGATGTGTAGAATCCAATAATTGGAAAATAAAAACGAAAATGAAGAGGATTCCTGAAATGTGTTCAGAACTTTAATTGGTTTAGTTAGAAAGTGCACAGAATGTTTACAACCTTCAATATACATATGAAAAGACATAAGAATGAAAAACCCTTTCTGTCGGATAATTTACAGAAGTTGTAAAACTTACCATAATAATACACTTCAATCCCACACTATGTATTTCAAGTTCGAGTTCTTGATTGTGTTACGTTGAAGTTCCAGATTAGTTGAAAATAGTTCTACTTGCGGCATAATTCCAAATTCAGGTAAGGTCAAGTGAGAAGTGAGAAATACATGTGTTGATCTGTTGCTTTGAGTAAGCGAATCAACAAACCATCTATTTTAACTGGTCATATTTTCTGGTGAATATGTGTTTGTAAATATGGATCAGATGTGTACGATGTGATCAGGGTTTCACGATCCTTTTGAATACTTGAATTCTGAGGAGAGGTGATTAGGAAATCTCCTTGAGACGCACTTTATAAGTGAAGCTGATTGAAGCTCATAATACGGACTCAGTTCGTAATCGTTCATCTTTCCATCAATCCGTTATTCCGACCAATGACGAACTAATAGATGACGTCATTCAACACCTGATAACAGTTCACAATGGGCAAGATTGTGTCGTCCCATATCTGAATCCAATTCGATGGTATGATGATTGCTGTCGAAATATAAATCCCTGCTACCCTCTCATATATTCATTAACACAAATCACGTCAGTGTACAACGGAATTAAATAGGTCGAATACGAGAATGGATTTCGGATACGTATATTTTGTACAATAGTTGTTCAGAACAGACAATCAGAGAGATGGCGCGAAGGAAGCGAACAAGAAAGAGGCAAAATTGAATGACGTGCAATAGAGAAATTGATGGAGTCAACTAAATTTTATTAAGCGTCGTTCAGTATTTATATTCAAACAAAACTAGATTACAGACATGTAGCGAGTGGGGTAAGTGATTGACACCCTCTCATATAAAAACAGTCATGGTTAGTGAGTGAAGTATTAACATGGTCAAAAGGTGACTTGAGAAGAATGATGAAGTAGGTGTGTCTGGTAACTAGGATGACCTATATGACCTTCTCGTAACACCAGCCACTAAAACCTCGGGAGATGTCATCCCAAGACCTTATAACTGCTTTTCACATAACAATAGACTCAATGCTACAGTTTTCGTTCTCTGTGTTATTCGAATTTAGTGATTGTTCAAGTAAGAGTAGTGGACATGGTTTGAATGTACTCCTTATTTTTAAATCAGTGTTACTAAGTCCCCCCACCTCCTTTAAGCTATGTGTAAAACGAATGCGTTATTAAAAGCATTGTTTTATGTTCGATACGTTGATATCAGTGTAGAATTTATTTATCAGCTTAAGTGACTGCAGTTTGAAGGTGATTTCTGTTACTTTTGAGGAACTTCATCAGAGACACCTCCATATAGGTTGTGACGCTGAAAAGTTTCTCTATCATCTTAAAATATAGGGAGTGCAACACAAGAAACGACTTTAAAAATCATGACATAAGTCATTTTGAATGACAGACTATTGACTTTTCAGTCTTCCACCTGATGTTAATGTGAAGATAATGTGAATATGCACTGTTGATCTTGAATTGTTAATTATATTCAGCATTAGTTTGGCACAAAACGAGAAGTGAAGCACAAAATGTTGAAGTGGCAGTGGCTTCACAATTCAAGTATTACCTCATAGGTTGCTGTCTAGTGAACACAAATTATGCTGATAAAAGCATCCAGTGATATAATCTATGATGACTTTGTCTAGATGTTTTAAATGATGCCTGTTAGGTGATCGTTTGTGTTCAGTATTTGTTTAAGTCGTTTTTCATTATTCACTTGACTTGATGATGATTATGTGTGAATTTGTTAAAATAAGTAACAGTGGAACACTTTATTGTTACTTGAGTTTTACAACAAACAGCTGATTGTGTAGTCGAATTCTTTCATGTATGGAATGAAAAATGTAAATAACTGTTTAGGGTATGACGGACTCTTCATAAAGTGTTGATAATCGAAAGCATGACACTATGTTGACCACCATTTGACGACGTCTTAGTTTGACTGAGACGATGAAATGCTTTCCACATTTTTCAAAAAGTTAGAATTCCACGAACAGTTTTGCTCATAAGGCATATAAATTTAGATGTCAGAAAAGTTAACTACTAGTTGTCCATATCACACAAACACAAGAATATCATCTTCACAGAAGACATTGTAGTTCGTCAATGTTGCTATTTCTGTATAACAGTCGGTATCTCAAGTTTGTAGGTGGATGATTTTCTATAATAATCTGAACAAACACATATCATCTTATTTACAAAATTGTAATTCATTTTACACTTCTTTATGTGTTCACAATAATATTTACTTAACATGACCGTATGAAAATAAATAAACTTGTGTAAACTGCTCAATTCAGGTTCTATAACGTTTACGAATTCAATATGTTATTTGTACTCTAGATACACATGTTTGAAACGGAATCAATAATATAATGCAGGTCAGAAAATCAAAGACGACCATATGAAAACAAATAAGCATGTATAGATTGTTTATTACAGGTTCTATAAAGTACACGAATTCGATATGATAATTATATTTTAGATACAAGTGTCTGCAAGGGGATCAACTATATAATACAGGTGATAAAATCAGAGAAGTAAGTCTCGAGTTTCATCTTCATCCAATCAGTGATAATTGCTGGTTAAATCTAAATTTAGTCACAATGTAAATAGAGAAGCATTACAATTAGATACTATTTCATAATTGAAAATTCTTATTATTTGTATTGATATGATCAATATGTACACGAAATGTTCCTGAATCAATATGGCGGAATGGTTCACTATCTGACTACATTGTGATTTAGTTCACATGTTTCAATGATGTCAGAAATATATTTAAACTTGTGAATGGTAATCAGGTACAAATGTTTTCAGTTGACTTGCTGATGTGATGGTAAACCAATACCCCAAATTTGTAGTTCCGCAAGTCTTGAACATTCACCTCAACCCTATTAGTTTTACTGAACATACGCTAGATGAAGGCGATCGGTCGCTTATTTATACCAGGTTGAAAGTTTGTATGCCATGCTACACATGCCCTGCAACTAATGTGGCGAGTGCTTCTTATGTCGACAGACACAGGTAGTATATAATACCAATTAGGAGTGGAAAACCTGACAGAGGAAGTTCAAGAAGATGGAGTTGAAGAGAATAAAAAAGGAAATAGAACGGAATTATGAATTGGAAGAAACATACAGAATGTGAAGCACAAATGATGAAAATGTTCAAATGAAATATTCAGTGTATGGTTCTCATATTTTACCAAGATATTCTGAAGTTCACAGCAGAGTTTCAATTCAATTCACTACCAGTTGGCCTAAATCAAATGATTTTGAACACATTCACAGCCTTGTGAATATATACTCAGTCTCATTCATTCGTGACTTTCAAGTATGACTGAGTTGGTATCATTCGATCATGAAAGTCTTACGAGTGAAGGCGTTGTCGAACCCCGAATATCTGTGGTATATTTATTAAAGTAGTTGGGACGGCAAATTGATGTGTGGGCGAGTATGACAGTGATTGGTTGTCTTGATGAGTCAGACATTAGATAGGATGACAGGTGTTATGTGTTATATATATATTCCCCTATCCTTATTATGTATTGACTGTTCCTTGATGTTGGATACTTATTGATTGACTGTTCTTTGTGTCGGATTTTCGTGTGGAAATATATTGTCGTTATAGTCAGGCTAATCTCGTGTTCTTGATCTGAGTTCTGTTGAAGTCCTGTAGAATAGACACTGGGTGAGAATCTAGTGTAGATATTCGTCTAAGATAAATTAACGTCCGACATACGTGTAAGAAGTAAAAGGACTGTTATAACAAGAACCCCTACTGTTGTAACCAGCATCCTCTCCTTTACGTTTATAACAATTAGCGACGGCATACTTACGTTTATAACACAAATATGTTTACAATTTATGAAATGTGGATACTAGCGAACAGGCATTCATTACGTACTTGTAGAGAATCGGAAAAATTTCGATCAGAATATTAAGGACTTTGGAAGTTGGTACAATCAGTTTGATGTGTTCAAAATGACAAGATGACAAAAGAAGCTAGGTCAGTTAACTTCTATTGGTCAGGTTGAGTGAACTGAGTAATATAATTTCGAGCAAATTGATTCCTCCTACTATATTTATTTATGTAAACACCATTTACCAGTAATCAAACTGCATGAGCTGAGTTCTTTCATATCAATGTTCGTGAACAGTTATAGACATAAATTTGAATGGAAAGTGCTATTATACTTAACAATGTGAACACAGAGAAAATAAGAGGACTGCTAAAATCATGGGCATAAGCTGAGTCTGCAAACAATGGATGTATTGAATATACCATATGCATCCACTCATCGAAACAGATATTAAACACGAATGTGTGTATACTGAGTGACAAGTCAAATTTCATATTTACACAACAGTGTGTAGATCACTTATGATTTGACCATATCAGATAGCTTCTTTTGAATGTTTGTGCTTATTATATTGTCTAAAAGTGTTACATATGATTTGTGAGATAGCGACAAACTGTGAAATGTATGTTGGGGTTTAAAGGTAATTATTGAAAAAGCTAAGTAGAAACAGTTGCCACAGAAACGCAACTATCATGGGATTCAATAGACGTCAACTATGAAATATGTATGTTATTATTCGATTAACGTAACTCACATTTGTTAATATGAAGATTCTGTAATCGTTGGTTATTTTTTTGCTAATGCAGTGAGATCACCCCAATTTCATACACTTTCCTATGTACACTGATTTTAATGATCAACATAACTATTGCGTTTAGGTTGTAAGCAGTTGACGATTAGGAAATCTATGAATTTTAATGAATTCATATTATTCTACCACGTTTACTTTGCTTGTTTGAAATAAATTGTCTCCATTGGTTAATGAATTGCTCACATTCCAAAGTGAGCGAGAAGTAGACAGTCTATTTTGTTGTTATTATAGTTAATGATTGGTAATTCTACACAGACTAATGTGGATCATCACCTCAGTTTATGGTGCATGTATTTCAACATTTTACTGAACGTGTTTCTGCAAAGTTTACTTCTTAGAGGATAATAAATGATCAGGAATATGAGTAGTTGTCTGTTGGGCGTAGTATTCATCATTTCAATATGTTTACTTAGTGGTGTGAATGGTGAGTTTTGTAGCATTTAGACAATAAATTTGCTATGATAATTATGTTTTTGATCATGGGTTGTTGGCAATGATAATGCATATGTGCATAAGAAAGGATCCTATGAATAGCGATGCTTAACTTCACTGTAGATTTTACAGTTTATGAAAACATGCCATGATTTATAGGGCGCTATAACACTGAACATACACGAAATGCGATTTCATATATTGACTAGAAAGCGTAATTCATAAGTTTGTGGAAGTTGGTTAGCCAGTCAAACTAGCCTTCTGCAACAGTTCCATGGTAAATGAGAGCGTTTATCTACATGTTATGCCTAAACACCTGAGAGATCACTAATGTGTTCTCATAATATTTCGCTTTGAAATATACAGGTGATCTTGGAAGCCATCAACAACAAGTTCTCAATTTTAAGAAGATCCTTTTCACTACCATTAAACTATTGATAAAAATGACAGATGCTGGAAGTTTGAACTGTTTCAAAATCTACATCATATCAAAACACAGATATATGAACAGGGTGTTTTGTTTTCAATGAATTCTACTGCAATCATTACAGTAATATATACATATTGATTGGCAAATATTTGATATAATCACACATCAACAGTTTTCTTTGATTTCAGCTGATAAAAGTAAGTAATTAAGAGTGGTGAAATGTATGTTTTAAGTGCACATTCATAAATGAAACTGTGAACATTGGAAGGGAATTAGAGTGAAAATGTTGATAATTGAAACTACTCATTGAATGTTTACAAATCTGATAAATTAGGTTGTTTTCCCGAATGTATTTTATTTCATCGTCTCATAATGAATAATATTCACAACAGCCTATGTGATATTTTATTTGACAATGACTTTTAAATAATCCGAAAGGGGGTTCTGTGGAAATTTTAGTAATTTATTGATTGAAAGGATGGGTGGATTAAAGCCAGATCAGCATGAAAAATGTGGAAGCAGTGTTTGACGGCCGTTTTGTTCTAGTATGAGATTCTTGAGCAGGGAACATCCACGATGCTGCTGTTGGGATTCGAATCCAGGATCTATGGTCGTGAGAGAAAAACTTCCAGTGCTTCCGGGTTTTCCATGGTGGTCTAGCTTTACTCGACTCATGAATCCAAATATTGGAAGATATATTAATTCTTACACCGTAAACGAAAGTGAAAACTAAGAGTAACAGAATTCGATTTATTACTTATGATCTATCACAGTGAACTATTTACTATCACAGTTCTAAAAATCTTATTGAATGAGAATAAGAGATGAGTACATTGATAGAATAATTTTTGCTCATTTAAATCTACTATAATGTGATTAAATAGTGGTAGATAAAACATTTGTAAAAAAGAAATGAATTCGGACAATCTCTTTGATTTCGCTGTAATATACCTTCCGGTTGTAAATTCCACGTTCAGTTGTAATATGTTCGCTTGGTTTCGGAACTGTGGTATTGTAGTTTTCAAATTAAATCAGCTTGTAATGAGGAATGATTGTTTAGGTTAATTTAGATACACTATATCGCTCAGTCAAACCAGAAATAAAGTAATTGTATGAGTGATGGTTCGAATTTTCACCATAAACTCAAATGTACATTATTACCTTAACAAATATTGCCACTTTGTTTACCAACCGATAATTGTTTTGTCAGTAGTCAAATGTAAATTTCATGAAATAGATAAATTGATAGATAATGTAAGGGAATTACCGAGTGGAACAAATAAATGTTATTCTCTCTATTCTGGACAGATTACGTACAGATTATTCGAAAGATAAATACTCTATTAAGAACAATCATTCAAGTAAAATCTATAGACGTTTGTTAAACGAAGGAATTCGGATGTTAACACCTTTTGAGAAGTTTTAAATATGAGCAAATCTATCCTATCTCAAAAGAAATCAGCCTTAATTAATAGATTTCAACAGTCTAAATATCTTGATTGTGATGTGTAAAGTTTTAGTTGGTTACCTTTGTAATTGAACTGATTAGATTAAGATTTTTAAAGAACAAACATCAGTCTTCAGATTAACTAGTTGAGCTCACTCACCAACATCATATCCCAATATGACAACATACCGATAAATTAGCATCTTGTAGGACCATACAAAATGTGTTATGAATAATGGTGCTTTTGTTATTACATTTACTGTGCTAATGAATAAATGAATGAATGTTCTTCCATCGAGTAGAATTTAAACTATAATACACATAACAGTTTGATTAAACATATGGTCAATTTATTATTGAAGCAGCAATCTTCAATCTCGTGTAAGTAAACACACAGTTTTACTTGGTTGCATGTATGTTTTATATAGATTTCATAGTTTGTTTATTCATCATCTCATTTTTTTGAATTTTGCTCATTACAGTTGAATAAATTCCAGTTTATAGGGTACTGTGAATATTGTTGAATTTCATTGTCTATAACAAGGGCTGATCTTTTGACAACTTAATAATTGTATTACGAATGATGAAGGAGCGAACGATGAATGAACCATTAACATAAGTTCTCTGTTTGATTTCTCATATTTTACTTAGGCTAACGCGTTTAGGAGAAATTGGATGAAGTTATTTTTGATATTTATTTAATCAGACAGACATTAAGATGTGAAGCTATGATGATGAACGAGCTTAAGCAAAATAATACTGTTTACAAGAGTTAATATAACTCGAAAGAGATAATTCGTAACTCGACAAGTAAACAAGCACTGCTTAAACTATATTACATTTGATTTAAACGACAGATAGTAAATGATGTCTAAATGAAATTGGTTTTAAAGGTGCTACGACTAGTAGTTGAAGATGTGATGTAACCACTCGTGATTTGGTGCGGATGTATTACCGAGCTCCTTTAACTAGGTGAGTCCAGTAAACCTAATGCAGTCAGCATCGAATGATGACGGCTTAAAGAGCTACCGATTTTGGAGATTTATTCATATCTTCGGTTTCAAATAAGGACTACGTGTTTTTTTATTATGAACTACAGAATAGTAGTTCTGAAATGTCACCTTCATGGATGTATTATCGTTATTGGTAGATTTTAAAAAGATAATACTTTACAGGTGTTGCAAAGATATTGAAGACCTCTAAGCATAACTCACAAAACAGTGTACCAGCGACTGAAATAATCTTTTGTAAAGTACTGCTGAAGAAAGCATTGAAAATTAACACCAACACAGTTCATATTTTACTTTACATTCATTAATATTAATGTGTATTTTGGAATATTATGTAAGATACTATAAAGATCTGTAGTTAGAAATTGGAAATCTAACCAAATAATTTTTGTTAGAGAGTTTATTGTAGAACTATGGTAAGTCTGATTTTATGATATCGTTTTAAAAGAAATTGTTTGCTGTTGAATAATAAATGTCTCTCAATGATTGCTTATTGAATTTATGACTGTATCTATGTAACATTTGCCAAATTGTACAGTCATGATATATGTTGTGTAAAGATTTCCGAGATACATGTTCATGTGATGTAACTTACTTCTGTTACTCATTATGGAGAAGCATAGACCGTCTAACAACACTCTCCATCCAACCCTGTCCTAGGCAATGCTTCTCACTTCTTTCCAGTTGTTGTTCATCCTCTGCTTTCAATTCTCGATGCAGTTTGTTATTTGATCTTCCTGCAAAAGCACCAAAATTTAATGAAAATTTTGCGAATTGGGTGATGACGATACATGGACATGTGGGTTATTAAAAATCTAAATATTCATCTTTATATCGTTGTGATAGTGCATATTAAACAAGTAGGAAATTTAAGCATTCTTCAATAAAATTCATTGAAATCATGGACGGATGTTAGTCAAACTACCAGCAAGAACAGGAAAGGTCCCACTATGAGACTCTTCAGCAATACTCGTCTACAACCGTGAACGTGGAAGTTGAACTCAGGACTTTCGGTGACGCCCACGAACTCTTTACCCCTAACTCAGTGAGTCAGCTTTCCTTGGTCTACAAGTATAAATTGAATCGATCCACAACATTGCGTTACCATCTTTCTTTGTTTTCGGTAGGTAACTGTCTCACAGGCGACACAGTCCAGTTCCACTAATCATGGTTTCTCATTGGAACACCGTTCTAGATTTCAGGGAAATTCGATTTTCACTCTCCTAAGTTATTCTTCGAAGTATGTTTAACTTCAGTGCTTTGTCTCTGACGTTATTAGTGAATTCAGTGTAACGGGGATTCAAACATTCATATATATTTCTTGAAAGGCATTTTAAATATCGTTCTGAGTTTGTGTTGTCTTTATCCTGAAAATAAGTTTTTCGAATACATTACTTCACCTTACTGTGCTTTGAAAAGAACTTTCTTGAACTCAAATTGTGGTTTTACTTATTTAGTATTTTAACAGAACTAGTTTCGGCTCACGTGAATTTAATGTGTATATTTCAACAGTCATTTCCAGTAGGCAACATAAAATACACACAAGACAATTCACAGAAATATAGAGTGTTAATTTAAATTTTTGAAGTCATTATTTATTGGTTACTACAGATAGTATTTTCAACAATACGTTCATACACTTCCCTGTAATTTGACTTTGGTCTGATGCATGGTAATTATCATTATCTAATTACTCACTAAAATATACAGAAGTAGTGAATATCATGAACTTATTTAAAGATAATTTATTTTGGAGGTCTGGTGAGTTAGACCACTATATATATAACTTAAAATTACTTATTGCTGGCATGCAATATCAAAAGCCATATATGGAACTATAGTAAATCTTAGCCCATTCAATAATTTGTAACTAACGAGAGATTTTGGGATGCACGCTTCGTTTGACTGTTTGTCAAGTTAGACAAATCAGTATGTATCACTGTATTCATTTAAAATGTAGAGTAAATCACTGTACACAGAAATTGTTACTTTTTGTACTTCAACTTCATTTAGGAGATACGTTTTAGCTGATCTGTACGTTAGTGTTCCAGAATTCTAAGACTATCACTGTTTTGTATTCGTTTCATTCAAATAACAACTTTACATTTATTATAAAGGCAATCAGTGTGTACTTATCCAGTGACTTACTCCGCCTGTAGCTGTTCTAGAGTTACTGTAGGTCCCAAGCCCGTGTAAAGGAGGAGGGTTGGGCAAGAGGTTAGCGTCCACATACCGTAGAAACACTAACTCGCTAAAAAACGCTAACCAGAAAAAATAATTCAAACTATTTAAACTCTGCCCTGGGAGTTGAAGGAATAATTATGACGCCTCATGATAAAAACCAAGATTCTTCTGAAGTCACCAAGCCAATGCACCTTCTAACAACCAGAGCAACACTCTTTATAAGTACATGGAACGTCCGAACAATATGTGAGACAGGAAAGACCAGCCAAATAGCAATGGAAATGAGGAGATACAACTTGGCAGTTCTCGGAATCAGCGAAACCCATTGGACACAAGCTGGATAACAAAGGCTAGGTACTGGAGAGATGCTGCTGTACTCCGGCCACGAAGAGGAAACTGCTCCACACACCCAGGAACTTGCTGTAATGCTGTCCAGAGACCACACCACAGAGAACCAGATGGATCATATTTGTATTAAAAAAATTCCGAAGGACAATGGAAGATGTGAGAACCAGGATTGGAGCTGACATAGCTTCAGATCACCACCTGGTTGTAGTCGAGATGAGACTGAAGCTAAAGAAACACTGGATGACTGGACAAACAGCACTGCGAGGGTTCGATGCAGCCTTCCTTTGAGATACTGACAAGCTCAGCGAATATAAAGATAACTCTCAGCAATATATTCCAAGCTTTGCAGGATCTACTCAGATAACTAGAATATACGATGGAGGGCATATTTTTGATTTATTTGTTTAATTCATTAGCCTACTCGAATAAACTTTGCTCTATATAGTAGTCAAATAACAGTATATTTCGTAGACAATCTCCTGAGTCACTGTTGACTCGTGAATGTTATTTGTTAAATTTTCAGAACACTGTTTTATGACAGTGACGTATATAGACTAGGAGTGGAATCAAAGGCGACTATTTCGTCCCAATTAGGACTCGTCAGCTGGATGAGATCTGTTTATTCCAGATTTCAACTTTATTAGCAACGCCTAAATAACCATTATATATATGAATAAACTGGTTGCGAATTTAAATCATTCGTTATTAGATGACGCTAATCAACATTTTTAATAATGTTTTTACAGGAAAAATTTCTGCAAACGACTGAAGGAAACTTTCAAATGCTATTTAGACAACATTGATCCAACTCTCGGCGGTCAAGGTCATACATGTACAGGTTAGGATAAAACACAGAATTCACGTGACATTAAATTTATAGTGTTATGTAATTTTAAGATAATGTAGTCATTTCAATGATTAAAGAGTGAAATGAACAACGGTAGTAAACACAATGTGATTACTCAAATTATTTGAATTCAATAAGAATAATCCATCGAAATATGTCATCAAGTACAAATGTATGGTGAGTAGGCTCACTATATCTGTCAATAGAGCTCAAAGTATCAAGGTTCTTGATGTGAAATTCAAACGACAGCTAACATGAACTTTCTTTAGTACTATGTCAACATGGTGATATTTAGAACGAATCTCTTAGAAAGCTAGTAGTTTTAAGTGGACGCTAGCATAAGAAATAATTTCAAAACAATGTCAAAAAAAAGAGAGAAATTTCATTGTTAGAGATCACTGTCCTCATTCATTATGTATCTATTTATTGAGAGCTTACTCCGTTATTTCTGAAATTCTGTTAAAGTCTTGTGAGTTACATTTTCCACTGTGATAGGGATTGTCTGATACATCTAATAACTCATTTGTAATTCAATGCTGTAGGGTATCCACAAGATTTTCATTTATAAAAATGTGATGATAATTTAGATAGACGAGAAATGTGAATAAATAGTTTACTGTAAGACATAACTAACCTAAAATATGTTTATACCTAATGAAACGCACTATGTATCTTGGTGTATGTTCCTTCGTAAAGTGTCTTATTATTACTGATACATTACACCTAGCTAACACATGTTGAAACAAGGTTTATTCAGGAAATTAGAATCAATCAGCCATCATCATATGTGAGCTCTGTTTCGTTTTATAACTCTCTCCAATTACTATTTGAATATTAAGACATCCATAACGAATAAGTTTTCAGCTCAATAAGATTATGAGTTCAGTACAGAAGCTGTAATACGTCCAGCTTAAATTCACTTAGAACTGTCTACTGAGATTCATACGTTGTATAAGATCTTTGACTATGCAGAGCTATTTATCCTAAGGTAGAACTTAGTAGAGAATGAAATAAGATCCTAACAATGATACAATGCTTTTGTAGTCCATAAGAACTAAAAAAAATACAACACTTTCTCAATTCAGTTATGTATAAAACACAGAATAGTGTGAATGAGGAATGCGCAGTACTCCTCTGTTCAACACAAAGCACTTGTTAAATATCTGTTTTTCAAACATCCTAGCATAGATTGTCATAGAAATCTCACTGATTCTATCTATCTATGTCAGATATTCTTTTGAATTTTGAATAAGTTTGTTAGTTTTTTTCTCCTGTGTTTAATATTTGATAGGCATTTATTTATTTGTCTTATAAATGTGCTGTTCAGATATATTTGAATTTGTTAACATAACTTAATAATATCACAGAATGAATGGGATTCGGCAGCTCTTAATCGCATAAAATGAATTCAAATACATGATGATATATTTTAACCTCATTGTATCACACAGAGTCTAGGTCATTAATCACTTTAGAACATAAAGCTAAAATGTATTGTTTGTAGGCCTGTAAGCAATTCGAATTTCATTGTAATACTGTGATTTGAATCAGTTGTTCATATAAATGACGTGTTTGATTATTTGACACATAATGTATATTGTTACCTGATTCTTTTTTTTCAAGCAAGCAATAAGTAAAGTAAATTATATTAATCAACATAATTTCGAATCCAGATCGTGAGTGCGCGCTGCTGAGAAGTCACACATTAGAACGAAATGGACGTCCAGTGGTTCCAAGTTTTCTATGGTGGTCTAGCTTCAATTGACTCATGATCTCAACTATTAAAAATACTATAATAACAACAAAAATCTCTTCTGATAGTAAATTAGATCATTTAGATTTTATCGATACGAATATTATCCTGAAAGCAAACGTTAAAATATTTAGCTTTCACAAAAAAATGAATTCAACATATTGAATTATTCTGTCAAAAAGAGAATAACATAACCTGACACGTATGAAATAATTTGTGAATCTGGTAGAAACAAAACAGTAACAAGCTATACACCACTGAAAACAATGTGTGTCAACGTTTGATGGATAATTGATACTGTCACAAGAACATCACAAGAGATACTGATAGTATGAATATAAATGAAAAGGATAGAGTTTAATTCACTTGGTATTGTTTGTTTGAATCTTCTTACTTATGTTTAGGACTGCAATTGACCAGCCTCTTTTCGGTGTATGTGCACACTGTGCGTATTGCCACGATATAGCCCTTATTCAGAAGCATTATAAGCGAAGATGGCTAATGCCAAGCAGTGCACTCGTCAGCTGGATGCACATGTATTTCAGAGTTGATGTTCACTCTGGGACTGAGTAGATAACGCGATAGCGTTTGAAGCAAACGGTACTGGGTTCGAGTCCCAGAGTGAACATCAACTCTGAGATGCAGGTACATCCAAATTGAATGATACGCACATCCTGGATTCCACTGCTAGCCACTATCCATCTTTGCTTAAAAAATAGAGAATGTACTTTTGATGTTTTTGACAATCTGGATAAGTTCATCATTAACAAATCTGTACATTTTACAAACGTTTCTTTTTTAATGTTTTATCTAGGATGAAGTGACTTGCTTATTTTATCATTGAGATTATAACAAATTTCTGTTCTTCTTGTTATTATTACCTGTTTCTATGTTAAAAGGAGGTAAGTTCATTGAAATGTACTGAAATAAAATTCACTTTTTCTTTCAAATTATAGACTACTGAAACATATAATCAATATAACAGATTTCATAGATGGTCATCATATTGGTCACAATTTTCTTTATCTTCAGGAAATATTTTATGAGCTATGTATTTTCAAAAGTGTGAAATAATCTCTAAGAGAACTGATGTAATGCATCTGTTTTCCCTATTTTTAAATAAGAGATGATGTTAAGTAGTTAAGTTTCAAAGCTAAACATAAAAGGATTTTTCAATGCATAAATAATCAGCTTGATTACTTCTGTCAATATTAAGGATTCTAATCACTATTTAATAGCTGTGTAATACAATGCACAATTACATATTACATATCACTTACATTGTGATGTGGTCTACTTATATCCATATAAGTAGTATATGGTGTTGGTCAGATATAGAATGTATTTTGGCAGAAGACCGATGAGCAATGAACTGGAATGAAGCGCAATCGTTCGGAAAATGCATGAGCAATGAAATTAAAGAAAAAACAGTAAAGATTAAAACAATTGATTGTTAATTTGCAAATTGACTGTTCATTGTTTGATTATCAGAATTCACTGAGATAGTCTGTAATGTTTGGCTTAAATACATTCGATTGTCCCCAGTCGTGTTCTGTTCATTACAACATTATACATCTTGATATTTGTGTCATTTATGATTTTATTAGCGATTTTCGATTTGGAGTAAGTTCAAAGAATATTTATTCAGTGCCTTAAACTAACTTTACAAGGTTGTTCATTTATTCATTCATTCTTTATAATTTAATAGAAGTGTATCAGGCAGCAACTATACAAAGTATAAATTTAAAAAAGGTTATTAAGTAATTACTTGTATGTATTAAACTATACTCGCAGAAACATGAAATTATAAGTCTGTTAAAATGCTTTGACTGCAGTGGGAGATCACAACCAAACTGTTACATAATTTTCTAATTTTCTTATGGAATGTTTCTGGCTACGTATGTGCTGATATATATATACTGTTTTCAACAGAAATATTCCGAATCTAACTGAGTAAAATTTTTTATTACATTTTTACATTTTTAAGTTTATGTCGAAATGAATTATTGTTGGAATGTAACTTAGTGCATCATTTGTCGGTTTACTATTGATGCTTTAAGTAAAAGACATATTTTATCAGAATAACTGCTGAAAACCATGTAGGATAAGAGAACTGATTTGTCCCTGCAAGCGACCATTCAGCAGAAATCTGAACCGTTACTTTCAGACGTCTTGGTTATTGATTCTTTCTTTAGACGAATGAGTAAACTTTCAGTAATTAACATATAACTTCAATTGACTCAGAATAACAATGTCCCGTATTTTACATGGGGCTGTATATGAGATATCATTCTATGACATAAGGTATACACAAGACAATTCATAGAAACATGGAGTGTTCATTTTAATTTTTGAGTCATTCTTTCTAGGTTACTTCAGACAGTGTTTTCAACAAAACTTTCATACAATTCCATTTAAGTTGACTTTAGTCTCATGCATGGTAATTATGATTATTTAATTACTTACCATATTCTACAGAATTAGTGAATACCATGAACTTATTCTTATTTAAAGAACATTTATTTTGGAGATCTGGTGAGTTAGACCACTATATATATATGACTTTTTTTAATTCAAAATCATGTATCGCGTTTATGAGAGATAAATTTTAGCTTATCTGTACGTCAATCCGTAGACATCCACAGTTTTTTAGTGTTTCGGAATTCCAAGACTATCAGTGTGTCGTATTTGTTTTATTCAACTAACAACTATACATGTATTATAAAGGCAATTAGTTTGTACTTATCTAGGGACTGATCTCTTATAAGCAGACTGATTAATCGACTTGGAATACGCAGATGATGTAGCTCTGTTTGGTGGAGACGAGTTACAGAGTGTTATGATTGCCTCCAGTAATTATGCATTTATGTTCAGGTTGTACTTCTCTCTTTGTTTGTGCAAAACATTGTTTCAGAACTGAACTGCATTAACATCTAAACGAATAATTGGAAGTGAAGTGTGGAACATGGCATGTGTATGTAGAAGACCTAGGTTGACTACAAGATATATATTACAGGTGTCTTATCACCGCTGCTCTCGTATGGAAGAACAATGAAGAGGGGTAACTTGAGGTTAAGTTTAGAATTGATGAGGTGATTAGTCTTCATCAATTCAGGTATATGGGATGTCGTTACGTAGTCATAACCAACTTCCATATCAAAATTAGCTGATGTATTACTAAGTGGGAAGAAATCTAGGTATTTGCTAGGCAAGACTTTGTATCACATTAGGAGTTTAATGACTGTTGTTCTACACAGTATTGGAAGGTGTAAAATATCTAGTTGAGGTTCGAGCGTTGATCCTGCGCCGGTTGGATAAGTTGTATTAATGCATTGCTCAGAATTTTTCCTAATATTAACGATGTGTCTACCTTGTATCACCCTCCACGTCTTGAATTTAAGCATTCCTTTGTGCATAATAATTCAATTTGTCTTTTCGGAGCAGATTATCAGCGTTTAATCTTTCTGTTGTGGTAGGATATACGTTGATTATGACTGACTAGCTGATTCGTATTCAATACAAATTGAACAAGGATCGTTTCTAACAATCCTATAAATCTTTTATAAAAGTTTGTTTGACGACATAAGTATCAATTGAATGAATGGAATCGGTTATTAATTTCATCTTTACTAACTCTTTTATTGTATCTCTCTTCAGGAGCAATCTATACAATCGCTTAGCTGATACTTGGAAATGCTTATTACTAGTACTACCTGAAAATCTGGGAGGTAAAACTACACCGTGTTACAATTCCACTTCACAATAGCTTAAAAATCGAACTCCATAAAAGCTAAATAAACAACTGTTTTCTGGTTTATTATCTTGGGTGTTTAAAAAAATTTTATAATGAGATATGATACCATACTACATCTCAAACAGTTATTAACAATGAAGGAATACACAACTTTACAGGTAGTGATGAAACTACTGAAGTCGATTTGTGAAAGTTACTGATGTTAAGGAAGCCAATTTCTAGTTTGTTTTGGAATATCTGCATCCCGTTTGAGTGATCTCTATATTGTCATCACATTACAAGCATGTTAAGTTATGTCGGATAGGGGCTAGCTGGGTAATCCAAAAGGCGTATTTCATTGCGTCGGGCTCATTAGCTGGATTCAACTGCATCTTAATATTGATTATCATACCGGGGCTCGAACCTGGTACATTTCACTTAAAATACTGAACTCATTATCTAAATAACTAGATTGTTAATGTTAATTATCCTATGATGCAGTCGGGAAACTTTTACAAACGAATCGAACTTCGCCCCGCTGCACTCTGAGGCTCAGTGGATAACATGTTGAGTGCTTGAAGCGAAAAGTGGTGGGTTAGAGTCCTGGTATAAACATCAAAACCAGGTTTCAAATGGAATGAAACATACATATTGAGTAGTACAGTTAGCCACTATTCAACTATGTGTAAAATATTAAAATAAATCGTTAGGAATATATTCAGGGTGTTAGGTTTGGGAAAGTTATGTGGTTAAATCAAAATATTAATGCAGGTTTTTAATAATGATTGAGTACAACGGTATTAGTGAAGTATTTTGTAACTTCTTAGGAAAAAATAATACGAAATAACGGTAAGTCCATTGACGAATGCAATGCAAACGAGATAATTTCTCTTTGTTTATTAACCAACTTGAAAATCCAAAGATATATTTATGAATACTTCTAATGAGATACATGGTGATAAGACAGTCAAATTGATTATGACCACATTGTTCACCTCTATATTGAAAGAAATCTGAAATGAGTTTATGTAATCAGACTCGCATTAAACGTCATCACGAGAACCATTATTTAATGGTCGAAGTTATATTGAGGTGAGATGTACGATTGGTGGAGAACTAAATGTACATTTACTTGTAAATGTTTAAATTGTGACCCACATTACGTATGGTTATGTAATCTTAACACGTTTCCGTTGATTAATTATATTGTGGATGGATGTTTTGGAAGGAAGATCCTAACAGATTTCAGTTTGAAAACGGACACGATAGTTTCTTGAATATATTAAACATGAAGTTGCTTTAATAACCGCTCTTAGACATAAATACTTTTAGTATAATATAATTTTGAAGTGAACAAGAAGTGGCGGAAGATCAATTTTTCTGTCTAGTGAAAAATTACACAGTGGTTCAGTAAACTGTTAAAATCATACTTCAAATACATGCATATCTTCTTTCCCTTGTCCTTTACATACTTCATAATTCTTCCAATTCTGTTTTTATTCCCATTCTTTTCCATTTTCCTTTCTATTCTCTTACGTTTAAGCTACTCAATCTTCTTTTGATAAGCATTCCACTTCTGGTTGGTGTTACATACAACTTACATCTGTCTACATAAATAGCAAAAACCACATTAGCACATGTGTCAGTGATGTTATCGTATGTACGGCTCGGTTGAAGGGAACGGACCGTTGAAGTTGGTTATTCCAGGCATGTAACACCTTACTGAAGGGTGAGAACAACTATGTTGTGTTGTATGCTACTTATGTTGACAGATATAAGTAATACGTAACAGTAATCGGAAGTGGAACGCCTGCATCAGAAAATTGAATTGCAGAGAACAGGAAGGGAAAGAGAGAGCAATTAGAACAACAACTGAATTGGAGGTATCATAATATCAATATTTTTAAATCAATGTGTTTGAGACATTAATTAGTTTGCAGACATATACGTAAAACATTTGGTTGATCGAAACACAGTTACTGGATGTTCATAAAGCTTCCATGATAAACGGTACAGAAATAATTTCAGACAACCTAATGATTCTATGAATTCATTCAGAACTTCTACTACTTTGATTCAAACCATAGACTGACCACAGCCCTTAAAAGTTTGTGTATTAGTTGTAGTGTGTGTGAGTGTGTGAATGCAATACAATTGTAATGAAGTTTATACTGGATAAGCTGTAGACCCTAACATTGACTTTTTCGAGATGGGTAGATTTGTGTGATCTACTAATTATCGTACAAATATAAAGTACTGTAATGTTTGTATTTCATTTAAATATGTCTGAAACAAGATTATTTATGTATGCTAGGTTAGGGTATAAAAAGATCGCTTTATTATATTTACCGAATCGATCATAATTGTTTGTCAAGCTAAAATTGAGACACATTGTAATGTTTGCAATGTAATGATCGCTATGTACATTAGGTCGACTGATATTTTTGCTAATATTCGTTTTCATTTTACTTGAACATTTAAAGCTCATCATTTCAATATGTTTATACATCTTTAGGTTTGCAGTTCATAAGTTACTACTATATTAAATTTTAGCCCCCAAATGTCCTGGTACGGCCGAGAGTGGGGAGAGTCACCCCTCCCTCTCGAAATGCTCTCATATGGCCAGCGAATATATAGCCTCTGTCAGGGAAGTCCTACTCACTGCCATCTCGTGGCATCACTGTTGTTTACGAAAGTGAGAGGACGAAAAGCGAATGTCCGGTGCTTGAACCGGGTTGGTGGACAAGGTGAGTCCACCTAGGGGAGTTGGAAAACCGTGATTCCAAACCAATCGTGCACATGGGCTCCAGTAACCTGAGGGAACAAATGGCGTACGAATCAACCGTTGATCACCGGCTACCATGGGACTGCATCTCCTTACAATGCTTCACTGCCTTGTGGATCAAACATTCAGGTCAAAGGCTCCGGGTGTGGCCCCCTAAGAAAACCACCTGCTTCAGTCTGGGAACCTGTGCAGTACCACAGCACTCACACAAATCGAATGAGTTTTGTGAGGCGCATATTTATGTGGTGCTTCCTTGTACCAATATTTATGTGTTTAAATAAAATAAAATAAAATAATAGTAATTTTTGAGTGAGTTAGTTTTGTAAATGATACCGTATTAGTCTTCTCATTGTACTGTCTAGTTAGTTATGAAATCGATAAACTGAAATGAATATGGTTGCTGTGATCCAGAACAAATAACATCTTGACAGAAATTAGATTTAGATTTAGGTAAAAACTCATTGTTATGTTTTTGTAATTACAATTTTGACAATATAGTTGTTAAGAGTTAGTTAGATTTAATGTTACTAAACAATCAGCGGGAACTTTGATTTTGGTGAACTTCAAGTAAAGATTAATTAGTTATTATTGTGTAATAATCCTGTGGAAACGATAAAATTCGTCCTTGATAGATTAATTAGTTGCCTCACTCAAGAAAATCGACATCAGTTTATTTTTCTTCTTAGAGGATTTGAATAATTGATAATGGTGTATAGTTTTGATTAGTTTATTTAATTGTGACTATCGAGTAGTAAACTTTAAAAAAGATAATAAACATTACCGATGGCCGGCACCTCTATTTGGTTTTTAGTTAATACACATATAGACGTCCATAATGAAATGTGCTTTACGAAATAATACGAGTTATGTAACAGTAGATTACTAGTAGATATTCCCAATAAACTATACGTTATTATAATTCTCTTAACCAGGTATCTGTCATAACATATAGCCTACTATTGGTCATATCTTTTGCTCGCCTATTAGAGAGCAGTGATTTATTGATCGGCCTAGTGATACACAAAATCCCTACGTGCAGTTTAGAGCAATTGTCGGTCCTGCCTTTTAACCTAGCCCAGACAGTTAAGTCCAGAACACCAATAACATTATCTGCAAACATTTTTCCAATTAAACAATAATTTTCACACTATATAAGCTACAATTAAATGTAATTGATCAATATAATTATTATTCAATTGTTCAAAACTTGGATGAAAGGTATACAGAACTTTTAGATAATGGAATATATTATTTACATTAACTAAATCGTATGTTTGGTGATTAGACGATTGTTAGTCTTTCTACTGATGAACATAAATTAACTTGATATTGGTATGGCAACTTATTGATAACTTAATTGATGATCGATGATTTCAATTCTCTTACTACAAGAGATGAATTGTAAATTGCTGAATATTTGGGTGTTGTTCAGTGTTTGTATACTTAGTGTTTTATATAAAATTAATGATGGAATATAATTTACTATATATTAACAACTAATATCTATACAATATGAATCAGTATACAAAGTTCGAATCCCGCGAGGCGGCATCGTGGACGTGCACTACTGAAGAGTCACACAATAGGACGAAACGGTCATCCAGTGCTTCCAGGTTTTCCATGGTGGTCTAGCTTCAATTGACTCATGATCTCAACTATTGATATTACATTTTCATTGAAATAGTTATGACAAATCAAAACATCCACAGTAATTTGAATTGTCAAATGAAAACATATTTCTTTTAAGATTATCAGCAATTCTTTTGTATTACTATACCTTTGTTATGAATATTCATTTGAGAGATATGTGTATATTCAATAACTAGTAGATAAATGAACGTATGTTTCATGTAATGGAAATAACAGTTAACTTATCTTTCATGATACTGATTGAAAAATCCTTGTGTGCAGGTTCGAATGCATGAAACAAAATTATTAACTTGAAACAATTATCAGAAGAGGATTTCGTGGAGATTTTAATAATTTTATATAGTTGAGATCATGAGTCAATTGAAGCTAGACCACCATGGAAAACCTGGAAGCAATGAACGCCCGTTTCTTGTCAGGCTGGATCATGGATGCGCATTGCTGAGGAGTCCCACAATAGGACGAGACAGCCGTCCAGTGCTTCCAGGTTTTCCATGGTGATCTAGCTTCAATTAACCCATGGTCACAATTAAATAAAAATTGAAACAATATTTAACTATCCTCAGAATTTTAGCAAACACTATTTCATTACGTTTCTTTTAGTCAAATATCGTAATACGAACATCAAAAATGATGCATTACTATAGACTGAAATTTATTGTGCCAACCGATGTTGTCAATCCATTCATATTTAAGAAAACTTATTCTAGATAACTGGTATATTATGTGTCTTTCAAACACTTAAAACGAGTTACTACTGAAGTTCTTGTTTAACTTAATGTATGAAATTAATATTCATCCTTTTTTGATGGGGGATAACAATAAAGTACAGGATGTATATTTCGTTCAGCTTTTGATTTGCTTTCTGAATGGGCTTCAACCTAAGCAAAAATATTCATAATAACATTGGGAATAAATATCAATACTACTTAAATTTATATTATCATAGACATTTCACAGGTTTTATAACGACTATGATGATCCAATTATAGTTTTATCAAAGAACATACCTCAAATGAATTCAAACCAATGACTTTTCTAAAGTCAATTTTGTATAATTGAGAATATAATCTAAGCTAATTATCATCAATTTGGTTGAAATAAATCAATTTTTGTAGTGGGAATGCAAGTTGTTTTAATTGGTAGATGTTGTATTACCACTACTATAAGGCTTTCTTGGCTAGTATTTGAGTTGAGTGTTAAATTAAAGGGTGATATTGTTTAACTGCAAAGATAGAATGGACAATAAGGTGAATTTATGTTAATGTCAAAATGAATGAATACAATTATT